GAAGATTAAAAGTTATGTCTATTTTTAAGGAATTACAAATTCGAACAAATGTTAAAATGGTTATCCGTCCGCATCATACTCCCAGCAAGGTTGTTTGCACAGTTATTGCTTTTTTTTCTTCCCCACTGTCAAGTAAACACTGTGCCGTATTGCTGTCTGAGTTGGCAAGTTAACCAACTTTTGAATTTAGATGACTACTCACCAGATTTGTACCGTTGAGGGCGCTCGAGACAATATAAATAAATGTCTTCAAATGGTAAGGCGTCGTTTTCCTCCAGCAAGGTTTCCTGAGTTAAACTTAAAACCAGTGCTTCCTCCCCCACTCGCTTCACCAGATATTTATGGAGCTGTTCCGACTCAGGTAGGTTTTGAATTTGCAGCGCATTTTGAGCAATTTAAATGGGTTTCGCGACTCCTCAGTAGTATTTTGTGACTTATCTGAAAATGATGCAGAACAAAATTTAGCAGATCCACTCTTCATCTCCCATACTTTTGTATTTTATTGGTATTTAGCTTTCACTACCAGAAGGCGTTCGTTGTGAGGTACTTGTTTCGGCATGTGTGGATGCAGGTCATTTCTTTATTCAACAGCCAACGCACCCAGCATTTGCTTCGTTACACCGCCTTGATTACTACATGCTTGCCATATACACTCAAACTAACGGGATTCCAGACCTTCCAAGGCCATGCGAAAGTAGTTTTATGTTTTGCTTTTTTATATTTTTTGTGTGTTCGTAATTGGTCATTGTAAATTCGCTTCTGTTTTCCTTGTTAATGTTATGGTTAATTTTAATCAATTTTCATTCCAGCTGGATTGCTGTGCGTTGCTCCCGCTGCAGGTGGTTGGTACCGCGCTGTCACAATATTTTATTATGAGGAAGAAGACGAGGTGCTTGTTCGCTTTGTAGATTATGGTGGCTATTCTCGAGTTCCACGAGCTGATTTGAGGCAAATAAGGTGTGTTTTGGTCTTTTTTGATCATTATTTGGTTTCGTTACCCTTACCCCGCTTTTACAACGTTTGTTACTAAGTTTTATTCAAGCTATTTTAGGACTGATTTTATGACACTGCCTTTCCAGTCACTAGAATGTTTACTTGCTCATGTCGAACCAGTAGATGGTATGGGTTTCAATCTGCTTTTCTAAGTTTTTTATTCAACTAGACGGTGACATTTTAGTACATGATTACCAATTTACACTTGAAGGTTCTTCTACATGGTTTCCGGAAGCGAATGAAATGTTTATCAGACTAGCAATGGGAAGGTTGTTGGAAGCATTTGTCGTTGGCTACAGTGTGGAAGATCAGACCCCAATTGTGGAACTTTTTACTGTGGATGAAAACAATATGGTAATTTTTCTCTACTTTATTGCGAGAAAGTCAATTGATATTTGTGAAAGAAATTTGTTTCAGACGGTGCGGATTGACCGCGCTTTATTGGACGCCGGGTTGGCAAAAGCTGCTGACCCTTCGAGAGTAAGGTGTGTTCCTCCTAAGCCGTTGGTAAGTCCTGTTCCAGTTCAGCCAGTGGCTGCCGCGGATTCGGTTAGTACGACTTCAAATCAGAGTACCAGTGGGCATGTTTGAAATAGACTGGATTTATTTTCAAAACTATTAAATTTATAAGTAGTCTAGGTTTTGTCAATAGTATCTCATTATTTGAATGTCTTTTGTTTATTTTTGTGTGTTTCACGTCAAAAGAGAGGAATTCGTGGCGGCTGTTGAATATATTGAAAAAATTGCTTTTGCGTTACTCGTGTTGCTCTCTTTAGACTGCAGGCTTGGGTGGCGTATTTCTTAAGCCTTTTATTGTTTCATTTCCGTTAATTTTCTCTTGTAGCCATTACAGTTGTCGTAGATGTTTAATGGTATGAGAAGCGTGATGCGTACTTTCTTATTATTTGGATAAAATCTGGCTATAACGTTACTTGAGTCTGTTATCTGATGCTCTCCTGCAGCATATTTTTATACAACGTTAGATCCCAATCATCAGTTTAAATTGTTCTTTTTGAGACAACGTTGAGATGTTTGTTAGTTCATATTTGCTTGCGGGTCCTTCCAAATCAAATTTCTTTATCTTCTATTCTTGTTTTGTCATTGTTTTACCTTGTTATAGTTGGCTCACTGTGCGACTTGCTTGCCAGATGGTCATTACTCTGAATCTCTTAACGGTATTTTGTTATGGATACGTGATTCAGTGATTTGAATTCTAGTTCCGGTTATTGTTCCAATAATTGATGATAGGAAAGTGATGAAAAAAGTTCAGAAATGACGGACAGCAAGAGCCGCAATGTTGAAGCAGTTGTTTATTTTCATTTTATCGTTGTTATTGTGGTTTGAGTTCGGTTAACTGTTAGTTGTTGGTGACATTAATTTCACTCGTCTCTGTTAAAGTTGCTAAATTCCCTCGTTCCTAGCCATCATCGCTTCTTATACTGGTATTTTTTTTTTTGCCTTTACTTGTTTCAAAACAGGTTTATCGTTTTTGTTTGGAGGATTTCTGGTTTGGGCTTGAAACGGTTTTTTCCTTTCGGTGTTATTTACAGATGTTGCGGTACAGGGAGTTTTCCATAATGTTTTTTTATTTGTTATTTCTAACTGTTAAGCTTTTTCTGTAGCTTCTTTCTATTCACTTATCACTTTCCTTCTCTGTTTTCAACCACAGTTAGATATTTGTACATGTTTTGTTCATTTCAGAGGATACCGTAAGATTATTAGCCTTATGTCTATCTTACATGGCCTATAAATTTCTTACTGAATAGCAGTTGCTGCTTGGGCTTACAGTGCAAAATGGTTGCAGTCAGGGATCTTGTTACATGGTTTTAGCGCGACGTGCACCAGTTCAAAGAAGCTGTGTAGCTTCTATTAAGGGGCTCTCATTTTGTAACTTCTCTACTTTTATCGTTAAATAGGAGTGGGCTGGGGTAACGTCTTGCCAGGCGGAAAAGTTTTTCGCACAAGATTTGTTGTTTGAGGACGAAGCAGTTGAAATGTTCCGCCTTTTTAGCGGAACTGTTTGTAAAAAAAACCGTGAGGTGGGTTCCTTGATAGATTTTTAAAAAGGGATCAAGAGTGTTGGAAACTTCGAGATTTCTTTATTGGTAGTACGTGTTCCACATCGGTATTGCGGTGCTACTCAGTTTTTCGTTGGAATTTACACTGTTACAGAGTTTTCTAATGACTTGGAAGTTTGGGTGAGCTGTGTTCTTTAGTGTTTCAGAAATTTTGAAGTTTTGACAAGGGTACAGTTCACGATGCAGATATGTAGTGAGCTGTGACTACTCCGTAGTAACCGTTAAGCCGCGGTTAATCGAAAAACTGGTGAGTGAAACGGTTTTGAGCGATGTGGCATAGTGGGCTGAGAAGTCTTGTAAAATTACTTCGATAGGTGCTGTTGTGACGATCACTGGTGAGACTCGGAAGTTCAGTTTGAAAATTCAGTGAAGTAGGTTTATGGCAACTAACTGAACGTTCTGAAGTCACCTACTTATGGCTCACATCATCTTTTACAGAAGAACGGTTACTGCATTGAGCAATTTTGGATGCGATGTATCTCTAATAGTGTGACATCACAGAGACTACATTAACTGAATAATATGATATGTCAAAGCCAAATGCTATTCTTTTCCAAAATAAGAAATTTTACTGTACAGTGCAGATCATCAAGACTTCTAGAATACAGATGTTACAGATTAGCTCCATCATTTGTTTCACAGCGGTTAACCATAGTTGCAGCTGTCCTTACAAGAGAACAGTAAACAACTGTTTCAATGTTGTAGCTCTTGCTGTCCGTTATTCTTAAATCTCTTTGGTTTTAGACCATTAATCATTAAAATTAGCAGTAGTTGAGGTTAAAGTTTTAACAGAAATGTAGGCTCATAACAAAAAGTCTTCAGGACCTTTTGTCACTCAGCATAACGACCATTTGACAAGGAGGTCGCACAGTAAGCCAACTATAACAAGACAGAACAATGATAAACAAGTATAAAAAACACAGAAATATGATTCTGAAGAACCCGCAAGCACTAATAGTCATTTTAAAGTTGCTTTGAACACTGTAAACCGACGATCGGGACCTAACATTATATGAAAGTATGCTGCAGAAAAGTGTCAGGTATCAGACTAAATGTTACATCCAAATACTGTGCAAATATAAGAGCACATAATGCTACTCATACCGTTAACAAACTACAACAACAAGAGCAGTTAAAAGAAAAAACAGACAAAAATAAAACAATAAAAATTTTAAAAATATGCCACTTAAGCCTGCGGTTTAAAAAGCGAAATGCAAGTTATGCAAAAACGGCCTCTTTGATAGTATTCAAGGACGGCCATGACTCTCTCTTTTGACCTGACACAAAAAAAATTGAGAAAGACCCATAAAACGAGGCACCGTTTACAAAATCTGAACTACCCATAAGCTTGATTGCGATTTCACCTCAGCTAACTGAATTTTCAAGACCACGCAAGAAAACTACCCTCACTTCACAGAGCAGCATAGAAGAATAAAATATGAATAAAGAAAATATTAACATAAATAATAACTCTCGCTGTTCTCAAAGTGAAGCCGTTGTTGCTTGCAAAAGAAATCTGCAGATTTACTCCGGCAAAACAGTCAAGTTGCTTAGCTTAAAAACAACTACTTATCGTCAACGTTACCCTTTCCCTGTGTGGGGGCATGAAAGTCAGAATAGCAAAGTTCATTATATTTACATCACCGTCGAGGGATTAAGGATATCTATATGAAACATTAGACGGAGGGAAATATGGTTGGGATGATGGCATATAACTGTTAGGGAACTGCTGTTGATGAGGTATTGAAATTTTAGCGCCTACCGGATACCTGGAAATGAATTAGCTTTTAACAATTATAAACATCCCAAACTTCTTCAGTGGCAGCATTCAACCACTACAGACCAGTCACGAAAAAAATTCAAGGGAGTTATAAATTTACTGTTGTCTTAAAAATAGCTAACAATTTAAAGGTCCTAGCTGCTTCTGACCTAACTTTCACGGTAGTTCTCAAGATCTACAGCTTCAACTTCCAAAAAATTTTCTCAGCAATTGACATAAAAGAACTTACACAGCCATTTGATGCTCCCTGGGTGAAACCATAGAGTAGTTCTGATACATTTCTTGTTGGGGCCTAGAAATGAATATTCATTAAACATTTGTCCAAAATGTTGATTTCAGAAAAATCCTTGAATGTGATGGCCCTGCTGAGCGATATTAGTTTACACACCTGTTCAAGGCCGGTTGCATCACGTACTGATCGGGGAACAATTGACCTTGAGTAGAAGTCATTTGTGGAGCTTCTCCGGACGTCACAGCGGCTGAAAACGTGTGGATGGAAAGGGGAATAAAGTAAACAAAAGAATATAATATACTCTTACCCTTAATTTATGCCCTGATAAGGGAAGAAAATAGACTTTAAAAATGTCTTGAAATACCTGACTGGTAATGTAGTGGAGCAACAGGTCTACGATTGCAAACTGGCGTCACTCTAGCCAGTTCCTGTGGCTTAGGTTGACTTCCGTAAGAACCTGGAGCTTGTGAGGACATCGACGCAAGATGATATTCATGGTTTACTATTTGCGGCCGTTTAGGCTCTGTTGGGTTCATAAACCTCTGTTGCGGCCTAACTAACGGCCCAACATTGTTATCTTTCTAAATGGTGAACGTCACAGTATGATTCAATAAATCGGTACTGGAAAATTTATCAGGTTCCGTTAAAGAAAAAAACTTGTGACTAAAAAAAAGAGTACCGGGTAGAGGTAGGGTTGCCCCGGCACGGACTGCGGCATCATTCTGTAAGTATGACTACTTGGCTGCTGCATAAATCGTGGGTCGCCGCCAGAAGGATAGGAATTTAACTGGTTTGAAAGTGACGGACTACACATCTGTAAATGGGCTCCAGTTGAGGCTGCGGGCGCGTTGTTGTTATTGACGATTCCATTATGAAGAAACACAGAAGTAGAAGGAGCTTGTGAAAGGCAACAGTTTGAAAGCGGACCAGATGAGGGATTGATGCTGCTCAAAGAAACTCCCACCGGATTACCATAGTCTGCACCAGAATCTAAAGTTGCTGGTTAGGAAACAAAACTGGTCGTCAAAACTTTTTCACAAAAAAGCTAACCAGGAGTTTGCTTCCTTGAAGCATTAGATTCTGTTCTTTCGCCCGTCATCGGATTGTTACTGTTTATTCGAGACGATGAAACTGAGGACGGACCATCGATGATACTTTGCGCAGCAGCTGACCCAGGAGAAACGATCTGAAACAATACTATATCCATTCAAGGGATAGGACATAAGTCATAAATAAATTTTTTCTTTTCTTTTTAGGATAATGTAAAGCCATGGGAAAACTGTTAAGGATTACCGAACTAGAATTGACGGACGGAATCGTTCTCGCGGCTGGTGATTCTATCTTATCATTAAATTTATCTGTAGTTGATGTAGAAGGCTGCTGTATACAATCACTAGGTGCATTTAAAAGATCATCCAAACACCCATCACCAAGATCATTAAGTGTATTTCCCTTTAAAATGTTTAATTTATCATATCTGTGCTTGAAAAACATATGATCAAACTCCATCATAAAGCTCTGCTTAAGTTATGCGAAAAAATAACTTAATTAGGATTGGCCTTACATGCTTAAGTTGGTCCATGAAATTACGCATTTGTGAATCTCCCAAATCAGCAATTGCTGACCCATTGCAGTGTGCATCGCTGTTCGCACACGTTACAACTGGAACTTGACAGACTTGAGCCCCAGACGCTTTATTTATTACCAGCCCTACATTCTGCTGCCGAACATTTCTGATCGCAGACTCTGGTTGCGAACTCATTCCTACGATTTCCTAAAAAATCTTACGTAATAAAAATATGTAAGAATTCGTATACCGTTGATGATAACAAGGTCAAACCTTATTCTGTAGATTATGCATTATGCTCATAGGCTGCGAAAACGGGACACTTCTGCCAGCCAGATTTGAACTCGATAATTCATTTCCTCCTCGAGCCACTGTCGCTGGGTGTTGCAACCAGCCAACTGCACCGTCTTCGTAAGTACGTTTTCGAGGCTGGAATAAATCAAGCAAAAGTAATCTAATCAGTTCGTTCTTATACCTTCGCAAGGCAAGAAAAATACGAGTAAGTATAATCAAATGTTAGGCACTCTGTTTATTGAGATACTAGCTATTATCACAGAAGAAAAAATAAAAATTTTCTATTTTGAGTGGAAAAAGAACGAGTAGCTCATGTACATTTGCTAAAGCAAATCAGGAAGATTTAGAATAATTGTTTGAAAGCTCACATTCATTGCCCTCCCAGAGGCAATCATAGGATGCGCTGAAATGAGATTGTAGCCAGCACCAGAGGCTGGAGCAAAACGAGTTGGATGCATCTGTTGCGGAGGCATTACACTCATTTGAGGTATTAATGGAACAGCATCTCGATGTTTAGCTTGTTGTTCGCTGAACTTCTTCATTTCTTCTTCAATATACCTGAGGAAAACTTCAACTTGAGAACAAGCAAATAATCTTATAAAGACCAGAAATGATCGCACAATTCTTAAAGTGAGACCAAGAAAATGTAGGTCCAGTTTCTGTCTGTTAGTTTGAATCAGCATCGGCAACAATAAACACACACCTTAATCAGTAAATCCACTCTTAATCCCTCTTCTAAGCCTAGCCCACCGATGCCTACAAGTAGTCAAAAAATCCTCTATAACGGTGACAGAAAATACATTCTGGTTTCACTTAGTAGTTTAGTAGATTTAAAAGCAACCTTCGATGATTTTTAGCCAATTCGCTTCTTTCTTCTTGTATAATTAGCGGCCGTACAGAATTGTGAAGTTTTTTTGAAGCTTCCGAATTCTGTTTCCAAGCATCCAAGCTGCAGTAAAATTTTGGATGACTCTGACGCTTTATCGACTCCTCATCACAAGTCATTGTAACCTTCCTACAAAAAAAACCTTTTTAAAGTAATAAACAAGCTCCAGTCGATACCACACTAGAAGACGTCAGCACCAGAATGACATGCCCATATCACGCCCTTCAAAATCAGACCACATTTGTGAAAAAAATTAACAAAGTACTAATTTTCAAAACATATACAACTTCGACGATTTCCAATTTCATACTAAATTGTCAACTTTCAACACCTACTCGTATT